GATGATGCAACATACATAAATGTAATTCATCACATAAAAGACAAGAGGGGAAAAAAAACACAGGATCATCTCAATAGATATACAATAAGACTTTAAAAAAAAAAAAACCTAACAACTTCTCACCATAAAAACACAGAAAAGCTCCTGCAAGCAGGCACAGGGGCTGGAGGCTCAATCCCAGGCCTGCTGTGCCAGCCCCGCCCCTAGGGCGCGTTGAGATGGCAATTGAGACTGGGCATGGTGGCACACGCACCTGTAATCCCAGCTCTTGGGAGGCTATAAACAGGCGGATTACTACAAGTCCGATCTAGTATTGAGACCCTGAACACCTTGTAGACCCTTCCCTAAATACAAAAAATAAAAATAAAAATAAAAAAACACAGAAAAAAATAGATATAGAAAGATCTTATCTCAATTTGATGAGTCATTTAGGACAAACCTATTACTAACAACATATTAAATGGGGAAAAACTTAAAAGTTTTCTCTCCAAAATCTAGTAAAAGACAATGATGTTCACTATCACCACTTCTATTAACATAGTACTTGATATATCAGCAAGAGGAATTAGGCAAGAAAAATGAAAAGCATATGTATAAGAAAGGAAAAACTCAAATTGCTATTATTTGCAGATCTCGTGACCATCTACATAGACGAACCAAAAAATTCTACCTAAAGACTCCTAGAATAAGCAAATACCAATAATGAACTCACTGAGAACAAAATTAGGAAAAATACCATTAATAACAGCACTAAGGAAATTACTTAGGTATTAACTTAAGCAAAGAAGTGTAAGATCTTTACAACAAAAACTGTATAGCATTCTTAAAAAGCAGATCAAAGAGGATGTAAGAGAATGCAAAGATATTTCTTGTTCCTGAACAGGCAGAATCAATACATTAAAAAATGTTCATATATCCAAACTAATTCACAGATTTAGCACAATCTCAATGAAAACATCAACAGCATTCTTCACAGAACAGGAGAAAACAATACTAAAATTCATAAGGGACTAGAACAGATCCATAGCAAAAACTATTCTGTGTAACAAGAGTAAAATGGAAAGCATTACAAACCTGGATATGAAGTTGTAATACAAAGCTATAGTCATCAAAACAACATTGTACTGGCACAAAAACAGACATGTGGATCAATGGAAGAGAACAGAGGATGCAGAAACCACCACAAGCACATTCAACTATTTTATTTTTGACAATGGGACTAAAAACATACACTGAAAGAGAGCCTTTTTAATAAATGGTGCTGAGAAAACTGGCTATCTACATGCAGAATAGTGAATCTAGACCCACATATTATATACTATGTATTAAACTAAAAGCAAAATGAATCAAATATCTCAATATTATAAAAGAAACAATCTCCTGGAAGGTAAAATAGATTACAAGTCTTGGAATTCATAGGAATAGGCAAGGACTTTGTGAATAGAACCCTGTTAGCACAGGGAATAGTATCAAACCAAATTATGAAGTTTCTGCAAAGCAAAAGAAACAATGAGCAGAGAGTAAAGAGAATACCTATAGAATGGAAAAAAGAAAACTTGCTAGCTATTCCTGAGGGAAAGAACTAATACCTAATATATACAGAGCACTCAAAAAATTTAGACCTCTGCCCAAGTAAAAGACTAAATCAAAAAACTGAACAAGTGAAATGAATAGACACTTCTCAGAAAAAGCACAGATGGCCAATAAATACATGAACAAATGTTCAACACCTATAGCCATGAAAGAAATGCAAATTAACATAACAACTTACTTACCACAACTTACTCCCAAAAGAAGAAGCAAACCATACTAATGTGAGTATGACTGCATGGAAAAAGAAACTCTTGTACATTGGTGGTGGGAATGTACACTAATACAACCATTATGGCAAGTAGTATGAAGATTCCTCACAAAACTAAAACTAAAACTAAAAAACAAAAACAAAAAAACCCCTAAAATTAGAAATGCCATTCAGCTACACCTCTTCAAGGTGCCTTCCTCACAGAGTTAAGGACATATGACCATGATACATGCACACCATGTATAACATTACAATTCATACAGCTAAATACTGGTAACAGCCTATAAGCTCATCAACAGTCTTGCTGGATAAAGAAAAAGTATTTGCACACAATGGAGTTCTATTCTGCCATAAGGAAGGTTAAACCTGATTCATTTGCAGGAAAATGGATGCCTCCTGAGACCATGTTAATGAAATGAAATAAATCAAATGCACAAGCTTAAATATCACATGGTTTTTCTTATACAAGAAAGACAAATATAAAGACAACAAAGATAACAGTCAACAGGAAAATAAATATCAAATGGGAAAAAGATCAAGAGGTAAAGAGAGCAGAAGAAAAGGGGTGGGGGAGGGAGATGCAGGACGAATTAGGATGTGTGATACATGTAATAGATCCCCAAGAGGAATGGGATCATCTCTTGTACTGAGAACATGTACAAATAAAAACAAAAAATGTATGCAAATCACAATATAAAATAAAGCAATTTTATAAAATAAAAGCAAAAAGATAAACTGGCACTTCTTTTACATGACTTTAAAAATTATATATCTATACTACTAGGGAGTTTTGGTACCCTGCTGGAATTCCAACAATGAAAAGGCTGAGGAAGGAGGATCACTGAGAGTTCAAGATGAGCCTGAACTACAAAGTGAGAATCTGTCAACAGAACAGAACAGAAGCAGAACAGAAACCAAACCAAACTGAACCAAACCGAACCAAACAGAACAGAATGTTACAATTTATACTAATAAAGACAGCTTATTATTGGCAAGATGACAGACCTATAAGTGAGTGAAGGAAAACAAGACCAGAAATTGAATCATACATATGTGGTCATGGTCATCAGATTTTTGACAAAAGTGCCAAAGAAATCTATAGAAGAAAATCCCTTCAAACACATGATGCTGAATCAACTGTGTATACAGAAAATGAACACTGACCTTTATCTCACAGCACACAAAAACATTAACTTGAAAACACAGAGAACAATGTCTGCAATCTCAGAGGAGGCAAATTCTTATATAGAATATAAAACCAGGGAACATAAATGAGAAAATTCACAATACAAGACTTCAACAAAACTACAAATTATTATTATTATTATTTAATTTTAGGAAATGGTCTAGTAGGGTCTACAGAGTCTCACTATGCAGATTGAACTCATAATGATCTGCCTGTGTTCAGCCTCCCAAGTGCTGGGATAACAGGCATGAGCCACCACACCCAGTCTCAATCGCCATCTCAGTGTGCCCCGGGGTTGGGGCCAGCATGGCATGCTGGGGATTGAACTTCAGCCACTCCTATCCACCTAAGGAGGTGCTTAAAAATTCTTTGAAAAATATTAAGGAATAAAAAGGTGAAAGGCTGGTGGTGACATAGCTCAGCAGACTAAGCACCTGCTTTTACCAGGGGTTCAATCCCCAGTCCCACATGCCACACAGGCTCTGCCACCAGGGTGCACTGAACCCGGCAAATGAGTCCTGGTATGGTGGTGGGCGTGATGATACATGCTCAGGAGGCTTGAAAAAAAAGGATCAGTAGGAATCCAAGATGTGTAATGAGACCTTATACCAAAATACATAAATTGGAGGAAAAAAAAAGGTGAGCCACAGACTAGGAAAAAATTCACAACATGTATGTTACACAAAGGACTTGATTTCAGAGTAGAAATTCTAAATCCTACCACAAAATGCCTTTTAGAATGGTTAATATTTAAATCAGACAATGATTCTATATAAGGTTTAAAAGAACACTGAAACCATCACACAGGAAAGTACTTTTAGTAGGGGTGCACTATGGCATCCACTTTGGAAACCAGTTTTATATTTTCTTAAAGTAATATACATATCCCTTCCATGAGTAAGCCATTACAGTCCTAGGTAATCACTCAGAAGAAAAAGTATCCATATATATGTTTGTATCAACTTTAAGAGCCAAAAACTGAAAAGTGAAATAGCCTAAATGTTTATCAACAGGTACACATTTCACAAACTGTGATACAGTCATACTATTCAATAACAAGAAGCACACAACTATGGATGGTACACACAAAACTGGCTTTGCCTCAAAGTAATCATGCAAAGTTAAAGAAACTAAACCAAAAAGAATACTCACCATATGGTGCTATTCATACACAAGTTCTGTAAAATGCATGATAGAAGGCCCCCAAGGGAATGGAGGTCAGAGGCAAGGGTTACAAAGAGGCGTAAGAAAAAATCTGATGGTGAAGGAAATGCTCAAGTATTGACATGTCAAAACTTATGAACTGGAGACCTTAAATATGGGGTTATTATTTGTATTTTAATTGTTCTTCAATAGTTCTTCAAGGCAAAATTTAAAACAAGTAGCTACCCTATTGTATCATTCAATAATTACAAACCAAGAGGAAAGCAAGGAGGATACCTTTGTTTTAAAATCTATTGTCGTTGCAGTTTTGGCAAAATATTGTACTAAAGACTTCACTGTATTTCTTGAATAGTTGAGTCAAAATATATTCTTTGTCTCTAAGAAATTAGTTATTAAAGCAGTATAAATAAAATTAACTGTGCAAAACAAAAATTCAAAGGATATATTATAAAATGTTAGTGGGGCTGGGGAGATGGCTCAGTAGACTAAGTGCTTCCCTGGCAAGCGCAAGGGCCTGAGTTCAATCCCCGGTTCCGAAAAAAAAAAAAAAAAAAAGTTAGTGATAAGGTTATTTGGTTATTCTTTGGTACTAGAATTTTGTGTTTTTATTTTCAGCTTACCTTTTTATACTTTTTAATTTTGTCATTGGACCTTATGTTACTTTTATAATAGATGGTAGACTGCTAATTTTAGAAATTTATATAACATGTGGTTTGAGTTAATCAGAATATAAATGATATAGTGAGGAGAAAATCAAGTTTCACTGATTCAAGAGGTAATTTTCCCTTCAAATGCAGTGTCCTAGCATGAATGATACTGGTAAGACCCACTGCTTCAATAGTTACATACCCGAGCAATGCAGTAATCCTTAGGATTTTCTTTTTCCAGACCATATTTCTCTAAGGCTTCAGCCACAGCAAAGTCTGCAGTATCTGTAGTAGATAGCAGGATTGTCTTGTAGGGAATGTTTGGTTTTAAACTATCTGCATAAATTCTCAAAGTTCCACCTGAAAAATATTTTGACACATTTGTGCACAACTTTATATCATTAACAGGGATAACTATCATTTACAAAGCCTAAGAAAATGGCAATGGAGTGCCCACTACATTAGCAGGAACTGAGGACCTAGTGATACCCCGCCCCACTGAGCAATCTTCTGTAACACAGACTATCCCTGGCTTCTCTGTACACAAATGAATATCCAAACTGATGAACTGATTCTCAACACAGGAAAGAAAAAGAAGGGATAAGAGGTTTCTGTGGTGCAGCTGTCTTCCACATCTGTCCTACACTTACCTATTTCCCCCACTTCACCTATTTCCTCAATCTCCATCTCTAGCAAACAGAAAGCCAAATGAAGTTAAATATCAGTCTCACTGAATAAATCCACTTTTAGAAAGTGATCTGGGAATCATGACATCCCCAGTGCTAAAGTCCAAACAATTTTCTTGAAGGATTATGTCACCAAAGGTGGGTTACCTATACTTTCAGGAACTACAAAATAGAAAGTCATTTTTAGTTACATACTAATAGGAGTGTGGGGGAAAATCAACCAGTAGAGAAGATGGAGATTCTGAAGTTTTCTTCAGTTCCTTCTTTCATCTTATGGAAACCAATACATACTATTTTCACTTTTAGTGTCACAATCTGCTTTCTACATATAGTTCTTGATCAATAAGCCCTGAAATCTTAAACGGACAAAAATTTAAGCATAATCCTTTTGATTTTCTTAATATTAACTCTAAACAGTTGCTTTGGTAATAATAATTAGTTGCTTAAGCATTTCTAGGACTCTATATAAAAAAGTGTTCCTTCTTTCCTCATTCACTTCTTTATTAGACAGACTCTGCTTTGATAGTCTATTATTTCTTTTCCTAATTCTTTGGGTCTTTTTTTGTTTTGTTGGCTTCTCTTAATTATTGTTTGTCCCTTACATTTTTACATCACCTGTTACTTTCTACCCAACAAAAATGTCAGCCTCACTCAGTGATGCTGTCTCCCAAATACACAGATCACTGCCAAGGACCAATCCCACCTGAAATTGCTGAGCAGAAGTCCAAATGAGGCACACAGTCACCAGCCTAGATATTCCTGGAGCTGTGGGAGCACCTCCTCCCACACTGAAATAAGACCCCTCTTCTCCTCTCATGCCACGATTTCATTCTCAATTTCATCCTGAGTAAAACCCAGTCTCTTACACTCAGGATACTCTACCCCTTGAACATTCTTTATTCCTCTCTGTCTGGCCCTTCTGTACTATATAGGTAGTGCAATGCTTTTGTAGGGATACCACTTCTGAACATAGTATTCTGCTTCTATGGTAATTTAGATCTGAAACTGAGGATAAATTAAAGCATTCTAGATCTCCAGCAGAGATCTAGAACTCTTTAAGAACTCTTTAAGATCTCAGAGATCTTAAAACTCTGCAGCAGCTTATTAACAAAGCATAATCAGATTTTTCATCAATGTACCCCAATGGCAATCAAAAATAAATATGGGTATCTGGAGACAAAGGTGCAGTCATATGCAAAATGCTTCCTATTTTTAAAAAACGCATACAACTTTTGCATTCTTATTCACATTAAAACATATTTTATAATCCTAGCTACTTGGGAGTTGGTGTAAAAGAATCCCAAGTTTGAGGTCACCCTGGACAACTTAGCAAGATGGTGTCAGAATGAGAAATTTTTAAAACAGCTAGACTGCAGTTCAGTGGTGAACCACTTGACCCACAAATGTGAGGTCCTGGGTTCAACATCAGCAGTCATCCATAATTTCTACTGTAAGGAGGAAAAAGAAATCCAACAATATTTTAAAACTTTTTTACTATAAGAAATACTAACTCATATGAGTATCAAATAATAGATGTTATTCAACTATATATATACCCTAACAGGTCTGTTGTACACTATTAACCATATACCTATATATAGAGAGAAACGTGTTATGTCTATGTGCGTGCATGTGTGTATATATATAATAATTTAAAATATCAAGTAACACAAAACAGGATACTGTAAGCTAGCTATCATTACCATGACTGTCACACCGCTGAGCATATACTTTATTCCCGGTATGTGATCAGACAGCACCATAAACATTTTTTACTATTTCTCTTGTCCTTTAAAAACTTTTTGATACTTCTCTTCTTTACATTTTCTCTGCCTCTAATTTTCTTTTTATTCTTTGCTTTTAAGTTAATTAATTAATTAATCAATTAGTACAGGGTCTCACTACAGAGCTCGGACTCCTGTCTCAGCCTCCCCAGGACTGGGATTACAGGCATGTGATACCATGCCTGGTTTCAGGTGCTTCAACCACCAAGCTATCTCCCCAGCCATAATTTTCTTTTTTCAATGCATATATTTATAAATCATTTCAAATCCTTGACAGAAAACACATTTGAAAAAGTAATCTTTAAGGTTTAAAAAGTACCCATATTAAAGTTCTTATGGAATCAAGAAGTCCCTCATTCTAACTTTTCGTAAATCACTAACACAATTCCTGTGCAGTGCTTAATTTTAGGGCCTGAAGAAACCAGTGCACAATGCTGGGGCAGCAGGAGAACCACAGGGCTAACCTCCACCCAGCTCAAGGGCACAAGTCTATGCTGAAAAGCACCAGAAGCGCGGAATCCTCACAGGCTGTGACAGGGCAGGATCCAGGGACCAGGCATTTAAAGAGCCTATGGAACCTACCTCCTGAATGGAGACTAAAATGGAGACGCCTATGGAAACACATAAGCATACTGTCTGTCCCTCAGATGGGTGCCAAGCATGTACACACCCTCCTCTTCAGACAGAAACTGCTGCCACATACAGCATTAGATGACAGCTGTAAACATAATCTGCAGAGGTAGTAAAACCCTCTAGTTCAGTCTCAGATTCAAGTGAAAAGATCTAGAATTAAGCAATCCTCCCCACTGAAATGATTATAAATGAGACGTTAAAGAAATTCTACCAGGGCTAGGGAGATAGCGCAGCGGTCTAAGCACCTGCCTAACTAGCACAAGGACCAAGATGCTGTGCTGTGACCAAAACTGGGAGTGAAGGGGCACACATGCAATCCCGGCACTGGGGAAGGTGAGACAGGAGGATCGCTATTAGTCTGAATTGCTCAGTGAGACCCTGCAGCAAACACATAAATAAATATTAAAGAAATTCTACCAATTCTCACATACCAAATCCTGTAACTACCAAATTAGCTATCAGGTGTACAAAATGTAATACTAAAATGTCCAATGCTATAGCACCTAATTGCAACATTAAGCGAAAAATGTCAAGTTGATGGCAAAAATCTAAACTTTTTTAGGAAGACTAGATCAACACAATGATTTTAAAATAAAAACTTAAACAGTTATGCTACCTTTTTAACAAGTAAAAATATAACTCAATCATTTTTTTGCAGAATACAATTGTCAAAGTTTTTATGTCAAGTAAAAATTTTATGTCAAGTAGCTAAAGTATTTAGTACAAAACCTAGTAAAATATCTAGTACAAAACCAGGCCAGGTGTGCTGTAGTACATGCTTATCCTAGCATTCAAGAAGCTGAAGCGGGATTGTAAAGAGTTTTTGGGAAAAGTGGAAGCTGGAAAACTGGTCAAAAGCTTGTAGGTTCCAGGACTAGGCCTCAGGCCCTAAGGCAAACAAGCTATCCCAGTCCTGAGATAAGCATCCTGACCGGTTAACGTCAGCTATTAGTCACTAGGCAAACTTGTGTCACATGTTACTAACTTTGCAAAGGTATAAATAAACATCCATATTGTTGCTGGCAGGGTTGTCTCACCAACCAGGCAGATGAGTCACCACCTAACCCAGTTTTTGTCTTCTTGTCTATCTTTTCCTCATTCCTGTAACCATTTCTCCCTGGGTAGAATGGATCACACTGAGACCCACGGATCCTTACACAGAGTTCAAGCACAGCCTAGGCTACATAGTGAATTCAGGACCAGCCTGAACTCATAGTGAGATCCTGTCCCAAAAAGCTAAAACCAAACCAAAAAGAACACTAAAAAACAAACAAACAAAAAACCCAAAACAACTCCCCCTCCAAAAAAAGACCCCAGTTTGTAACTCTTAATGGTAAAGCCACTGGTTATTATTCTCTTTATAACCTTTATTTCCTTAAGAATAAGGAGTATACTCCAGGATACACTGGCAAAGAAAAAAGACAGGTAGAGTAAAAGTATGTAAATACACTGTCATTTATGGGGTAAAAAAGCTGGACTTCTCTAATTTTGAAACTATTAAGTAAGTTTAAATTGTTTGGGTGTTTTTTGGTTGGGGTTTTTTTTTTTTTTTTTTTTTTTTTTTTTTTTTTTTTTTTTTTTTTTTTTTTTTGGATTGAACTCAGGTTTTTTTGTATCTTAGGGAAGGGTCTACAGGGTGTTCAGGGTCTCACTACTAGATCGGACTCGTAGTGATTCTCCTGTTTACAGTCTCCTAAGAGCTGGAATTAGTCTCAGCGTGCCCGGGGACAGGGCCAGCATGGCAGGGAGCAAATCCCCCGCCCCTGCAACCGCTGAGCTATTTGGCCAGCCCGAAATTGTAAAGAAGCAAATCTCTAAAGTAAAAAACAACAACAAAATCCTAAATCAATATGGGAACAAGTTACAAAGACAAATTAATTCTGCTAAAACATACCACTTCAACAGCATGTTTATACAAGATATGCCTCAAACATATTTCATAAAATCTTAAAATGTTTCAGTATCATACTACATATATATATATATATATATATATGTTAGTTTTATTTTGATACTTCTGTTACATATTTTTTTTTAACATTTATTTATTGCGCGCGCGCGCGCGTGTGTATGTGTGTCCAGCTCAGCCCACCAGGGGGCGGGGCTGGCTGGCATGTGGTGCTGGGGGATTGAACCGCGGTCCCTGTGCTTTGCCAAGCTTGTTCCAAGTAGGTGCTTTAGACCACTGAGCCATCTCTCCAGCCCCCTCTGTTACATATTACAGAGAAAAATAATTTTGTCAAGCAATAAGAATGTTACTATAAAAAACAGCCACATTTTCTAAAATCAAAATAGGTTAAAGACACTAAGAAGAATATATGCAGTGTATTATTTGTTGAAACTGTCCTTCCGATATGATTTGAAACTGTCTCATTGCTATCTGTTTGTCAATAAAACTTTGAAAAAAAAAAATAGGTTAAAGAAATGAAAACCCCTTAGAAAAGCAGCCGCCTGAAAGCCTGGGCAGTATGTGCACACATGAGTAGATAGCCTGCCATGAAAGCCAATGAGGGGCTGACTCAGGAAGAGTTTTAAATCCAGAAGTACATTAAAAAATCTTAAAAATCAATGGTCAACTTTGGAGGACACTAATATAAGTCTTCTTACTCCATTTCTATATCTATTTCAAAACCTATATCTATATCTCATCAAGGAAACAGATAAAACAGAAGGAAAAAATGGTAAATACCACCAAAATAGCCAGCAAAATCTCCAAGACAAATGGCGTCGGTTTTTAAGACCAACAAAACAAAGAGGAAAGGGAGTTTTAGAACAAAAATGTAAGACATATTAATCACTGCTAACATGAAAATCTCATTTGTATTCCCACTCAAAGAAATTAGCAGACACAATTAGAAAAAAAGTGTTTATTTGATGACTAATAAATTATTGTCAATTCTTTTATAGATGATAATGGAACTGAGGTTACTTTTTTGTTGTTTTAAGAATCTTCATCTAAATATTTACAGATGACATAATGATAAAGCTGCAACATAAAAACAGTACTTTGGAAATGAACAGTACTTTGGAAATGTCACCAATGTATACTGGAGTAGAGAAGAGGCATGTGATACTGATGATCAAAACTTGATGATAGGCACAGGAAAGTTTATTACATCTTCCCTTTTTATTTTATATATATCTGAAAATTTCCAGTTTTTGTTTGTTTGTTCTTTGTTTTAAGCTATGCTGGAGGGCACGCTGGCACTTGCACTCCTAGCACTTGGGAGGCTGAAGTATGAGGATCACGGACTTAAGAAGCCAGCCTGGGCTACTTAGTGAATTAAAGGCCAGCCTGAGCTACACAGTGATCCTGTCTCAAAAACAAAACAAAACAGCTATGGTGGGAAAAAATATGCAACTAAGCATATTTGTCAACAGAATTCTTCTATATAAAAAACATATGTGTTGCATTTGTTATTACAAGGCTGCCTCATCCACTGCTTTAGTCAGGAAAGCCTCACAAGAAAGCCTCATATACAAAAAGACTAACAAGCACTCTTTATAGCAGGTATGCAGCGAACATGCTCTGTTTACCTGAATCAGGCCGCCCATCTGAGCTCCGGAACTCCTGCATTCTCTTCTCCAGTTTTTGCTGCCTCCGTCGTTTCATAACCACCTCAGGATTAGAAATTGTTCGAGTAAAGCTGGTTTCAGGCATGTCTTTGTAAACCTCAGCAGCTAGTCGAGAATTCTCACTTGAAAGAAGAAAAACAAACAAACAAAAAACCCCACCAATAATATACTGTCTAACTTTTCCTACTAGAAATACAAAATCATACAAATACCAAAAAGGCAGGTGTTACTTGACTAAACTGATATCCCAACAGGTCTGCTGTACATCATTTATAATGTACTAATTGCTATGTGATAGAGAATACAATTTCTGTCAGTATACTCTAATATACTAAACAAGGTAGAAATCTATAATTAAAACTTCTGAGATTATAGAACTGAATCGTTCTACTAAAAAAGCTAAAACAAAAATGTATGAATTATATATTTCAGTCATACTCACCAGTGTTTTTCTAAAAAAAACCCAAGTGATAATTACATCACAGCATTCCAATCATAAGAGATGAGCAGAGTTGAATGTGCTTTAGGACAAATTTTACTTAAAATTATAATAAATATTAAAAAATACAAATTCAATAACATGATTTTTTAAATGCCTAAAACATTTACCAACATTCATTTTCTTGACGTTAAATTTTCAAAAAGAAATTGTTACAATAGTCTCTGTAGAAGGAATCAACTGTACAGAATGATAAGCAGAAAATGAAATATTAAGGTTAAGACAAAAGGTCTAAAAGACATTTTTATTAAAATAAATGATTTTAATAAATATTAACTTAATCACAAAAATAATCTAAAAATAATTAAAATTTTACTCAAGTAACTCACTTTTAAAAATTCAAAGCATGTATCACCACAGAAACTAAACTGATAAACAGAACAAAGCATAAAAGTGTTTACTCTCCCTTTCACACTTTACATATGAGAGCAATGCATCTGTGCAAGTACTTCTGTATTACTGTTAAAGTAGTACTATGTCCCAGTAATCGGACAGCACTGCCTAATAAATACATTAACACCTAAACTCAAACTGACACAATGTAAACTAAGAAACTTTCAGCACTGATAAAAAGCCTTGAAGAGGACATTGTACCAGAAGAATGTAAATAGTTAATGAAAACTTGGAACACTACCTTATTAATAATAAATTCAATTTGTTGGGAATATTAAATAGCACTTTATAGAGATAATATACCATCATGTAACATTCAAGAACTTTAATAAGAGTATAAGGAAATGAGAGGGCTTACAGGCTATTTGTGAGGAAGAGCTAGTCTGCCAGTGGGCTGAGAGTGTCTAGATCTGTCACCTAGCTCATCTACAGTACCCTTCAAGAAGTGACCAGATAAGTTCCCAAAGTTCTAGAACAACAATATTCACTGCACCACAATTTATAATACCAAAACAATGTAAACAACCAATAAATAACCAACAAATGCATCAAAAAAGGGGTCAAATATATAAATTAAAGAACTATAAGGCAAAATTTACCACACAAATATTTAAAACTTTGTATGAGAAAAAATACAAGTGCATCTCTCTCTCTCATATATATATGTATATATATACATATATATATATATATATATATAGTACGCACACACATCTAAATGGAAAAGATTGATACACTTTGTTAAAATCTATACAAATATACAAAGTACATACATTTGTTTAGAGAAAACAAACTAGATCAAGGTTGAGTTCATGTGACAAAAGGTGGTTCTTTATTCTTTCTTGCTAATCTACGTATTTTGACTTTCTAAAACAAATGTATATTACTTCAGCAACAAAAAAGGAATATTTAGAGCATGATGCAGTCAAGACCAAGGTAACAGCAAGCTACATAAAAGTAAGCAAATGAGAGCCAAATAATCTTAAATTAATGAAAACCGGATGGGTAAGCTGGGAACAGAAAAGTCCACCAAAGAGGAAAAGTCTAGGTTACATAATGCCTGATTTTCCTTCCTCAGGGATCCAAACCACAGAAGTGGAAAGGATCAGATAAAAATGAAGAGACCAGTGGCATGACAGCTTGCTTAGGAAAAACCACACAGTTGTGCTGGGTTTGCCTGGAATGAACAGGACAGTTAGCAGATGCTTTCCAGCCTTGGGAAACAGCCACTAGCAACAATCTTGCTTAGTTAAGACCTGTTCGCCCCTGACATGGACAGACACATGCTTGGTCAATAAACTTGATAGGCATCCATCCTTCCATAATTTCCCCAAGCTTATGGCATTGAAAACATCTGGATTAGAGCACAAAATAGGAATATTTCCAAAGCTAACTTACCTGTCATCACCTTGGGAAGGTCTGTCCTCTTTCTCAGATGTCTGTCTCAAGGCCTCTTTTTCTCTCTTTTTCTTTTCCTTTTTTTCTTTCTTTGAGAGAGTTCTCTTAAAGTTCTGAATAACACCTTCTTTTTCCTGCTTTTCAGGTCCATTACTTTGAGCCTTCTAAAAAAAATTAACATCATTACCACACTGATCACTACCCAAGAATTTCATGAAACTCCCTATGGCTTGGCTATTTTTACCTTATAAGCTACAGTGAAAACCTAAGTTACAGAACAGGAGAGGTCTAGAGTGGTAGAAATTCTCTTTACCATGACTAGGCTGATAATCACATGAGTGTTTTTGTCAAAACCAAGTGAACTGTATATTGAAGATCTATTTCATCATATATAAATTTTACCTCATTAACAAGTAAGCAAACATAAAACTCAAAACCAGTAAAAAAAAAAATTGGGGTAGGAATCATGAGGTCTGAATTGTAATAAACAAAACTCCAAGTAAGTTCCAAAAAGTATGTCCAATCTTGCATACCTGTATCTGTTAATCTGAGCAACAGATTTGACAATAAAAAAGTGTAACGAAACAACCACTGTTAATTGGCTATTTGTTTTGAAAATCCGTACCATATGTACTGTTGTATGTAACTGTTTCTCTTTGTTTCTATTTGTTTCTGCTTTTGTTCTTACTCTTCAAAATACAATTAAATTTTAAAAGAAGTTCCATAAAGTAACCTAAGTAAAAGGAATCTAATGAAAATATGGGAATGGGCTGGGGATATAGATATAGCCCAGTGGCACAGATCCTGCTTGACAAGCACAAGGTCCGAAGTTTGAGTTCTGGTACCAAAAAAAAAAAAAAAAAAAACTGGAAACAAAGTCTAAATTATCATTTACCTACTAGGTAGTTTTAACTTCAAAAAAAATGTTAAGAGTAGCTGTAAGTTTGCTTTTGTTGAGTCAAGCTCTATATACTGTGTTTCTGCAAAGCTGTCTTCCTCCCCAGATCTGTTCCTCTTGTTTGCTTATCCTTAATTTATACTTCAACTTAAAAGCATGGCCTGCTAGCAGATGACAGGAAGCTACCTTATTTTTATAGAGAAACTTAATGGGTTGAATAGTAAGAAAACCATTTTCTGCTTTATCAGATAAGGGGGGGGGGGAAGAATGTTAATACTCTCATTTCCATTCACAGGGGGGCCTGGCCCTAGCTCAGTTCTTTAAGTGACTGCTTCCACAAAGCTGTCAGCCTCAGGTTGCTGTAGTTCGATCCTCACAACACTCCAGCCAGCCAAACCTGCCCTGAAGGCATTCGGAGAAAAAAAAAAAAAAAAAAATCCTCACTTCCATTCACAGATACTTAAGGGTACTATATTGGTCCTAAGAGATATGCAGTGATTGGGGTCCACAGCAAAGCACACAGAATAGAATGCTAGTAATTGAAATCACAGAGCAAAATGAAATAAAACATGGGCAGCTAAATGTCAAAAAAAATTCTCATTTTAATAAGCATTTGCTGCAAATATATCACTACAACACAATAATAAAAAGTCAAGAATACATTTGTACAGATACCTAGAATACAACAAGCAACACTGGCATCATAGAAAAGGAAATTTTTCTGCTTCTCTAAGTGAACAATGACATTCTTTTTTCCAAGTGGTTGAGGAAGAATAAAGAGATTTTCTCAAAATAGTTTTAACCTTTGCATTTCCTACCACTTATTAATACTGAATTATGTAAAACACCATTATTTAACACCGAATGATAGTTATTTTCAATACAGTTATTTTCAATACTATGTATGTCATAGTACTGCAGTGGGTTGACAACTGGTGGTCAACGTGCAACACCCAAATGACCTGAATCAGTGTAGTGCTGGGTGTGGAAGGCCACCCTGAGGACTGCTGCACAAGCATAAAAAGGACAAATGGAGAAGTAGGGCTGTTGGTTCTCCTGGAGATTGCCATGCTGGCTTTCCTGATACAATCTTGGCTGTTCTCACTGACAGAGGAGCTCTGGACCTCTTTGCACTGAGGATGGCTGTGATACTTTTTAATGAAGCTCTGGCCCTTATTTTGAGTGTTGCTTCCTGGCTGCAGTGCTGATCCTTCTACCTGCTGGCAGATCCTTCATCCCACTGGTACAGACTTGCTAGCTTCCACTATGAACCTTTGGGCCTTCTCAGCAAAGATACTTGAAACAGGCCTCCATGAAGCACTGTCATGGGTTCTGGCCTAAAGTGGGACTTGTGAGGGGCACTGTCATGGGCTTTAGGTCTTCAGCTGCACTCATGCAGGACATGCTGTGGGATCTAGGCCCTCAGCTGGTTTCTTTGGGTCTTTAGCGTATGGACAACTTTCCTGCAATCTTTGTTTTTGGTTCTTTGGGTGACTATTATAAAATAATCCTACAAATTTTGTGTCCTGTATTAAATTATTCCCCTTGTAAACCCTGACTACAACAATATTCCACCTCAAAAAAGAACAGTAATTCTAATTATTCTACCACCTGAGAAAATTACAGAATTTTTCTATTGTATCATCCAAAGAAATTCAAGAAAGTTTACTGATTCTTATTGCATATATCATACAAAAAGATCTTAAGAAGGCTGGCCAGATAGTTCAGCAGACTAAAGCGCCTGCTTAGGCAGATGCAGGGGCCGGGGGCTCGATCCCCCAGCCTGCCATGCCAGCCCCACCTCTGGGGTATGCTGAGACAGTGATTGAGACTGGTGGTGGTGGCGTGCGCCTGTAATACCAGTGCTTGGGAGGCTGAAAACAGCAGGCTCACTGCAAGTCCAATCTGTATAGAGACCCTGTAGACCCTGTACTAATATAGATAGATAGATAGATAGATAGATAGATAGATAGATAGATAGATAGATAGATCTTATTATATGCCTTATAAAGTCAACTGAAAATTCACACATAAATAGGCCACAGAGGTTTTCTTCTCTTTTTTTGATTCTTATTAGAACATTTTGATTTTACAGTTATGGGAAAAAAAAAACGGAAGATAATTTGATCATTAACATTTTGATCACAAAAGTTTTACATAGCTTTTCTTTTTGAAGAAGCCAGGCAGAGTGGTACACACCTATAATTCCAACACTTGGGAAGCTGAGGCAGGAGGATGGCCACAAGTTCAAGATCAACCTGAACTTGTGAATGGGACCCCATCTCACAACACTAATTAATTAAATGAACAAACAAATGTATGTATGGACATATGTATACATTATAAGAAAAGCACTGTATGGTGAAGTAAACAATACAGGAGTTACTTTCTAAGAGGGTAAAGCAGTACCTGCAACACAATATCTGCCTTCTGTTTATTCCACCAGACTTGGCCCTGGACTACAGTATAAAACACAGGCTTTACCTTGGCAGGAATGGCATCGTTCTCATTCTTGAGGACAAATCTGCCCTCCCGATCATCTTTGTTCCAGTTCAACTGCACAACTAGAGGTTTCTCATCAATGTCCAATCTTCTTTCTTCTTCAAAACATGAAATAGAAGAAAGAACAAAGTGTGGTTATTTCATGTCATTAGTGCAGTAGTCACTCTTGTAATATGCACTTAATTTTATAGACGAAAGGTATATATTCATGTTTGTACTGACAGAACGGAATGCACTAATCAGAACAGCCTGTCTTAGTCAGCTAAGCACTTCATGCTCCCTCAGTGTCACACAATGAATGAGTTTCTCATGTGTACCTCAGTGGAGTACCTTATCCTAATCAATGATTCTGAGAGACTTACTAAGTTTTAAAAACAAAAGCTACAGTACCCAAACATAGTACTAAACTGTGATAAAGAGAAAAATGATGGCAGCTTTATGGAAGAGGAACTTTGAGGGTGTGGTTGGCAAGTTTTGGAGATAAGGATCAAATGCACAGACAGGAGGTACAGTTTAGTAATAGTAATCACTGTTAAAATTGAAGGCAGGCTGTTTTCTTGGTAGAGTGTAACTTTAATGGGATAAGAAAAATCTGAGAGGAATCAGTTGGACTTAACAACTGTTAAGTAACACACTGTGTTATCTTAACATTATTTTCTAATTTCTAGTTGTGTATGAGATAGCTGCTTTACAGAGATAGGATTACAGCTTACTCATATGCAGTCATTCCTAGTTTATATACTTTCTCTTATTTCCCAGCATGATCTAAATAAGGGAAATGCCCCTGGTCAGTGTCACCTGAGAAGCCCTAGCCACACACCAGAGGCCCCCAGTTGGCTGGAAGCTTTGTGGAGAAGGCACTGAAGAATGGAAATGCTCCTGCTAGCTGAAACACCAGTTCCAGGGCACAGGAGACTAAGGGAGTTGGAGCTGACTCATCTGAGACTACTTCCCCAGGAACCCTCCTGGTCCCTTAAAAATCCCATTGTGTTTTCACTTTTCTCTTTTGAAAATCTAGTAAAATTTAAACAGGTTTAGAGAGACCTGCTCAAATCACTTTCTCAAAGTCAGTGCCATTTAGCATACATTTGGCAGAAGAAACTTTTCAAGAATGCTTATTTCAAAAATATCCCCACAATGTTTCTTCGTAACTTGGTGCTTTATAGCTTGAACATTAATAACACAAAACCCAGCATTTTTAGACTTGAGTGAAAAAGTAAAAGTCAACACATAGTAAAACTAATTAGTGACAGGAGGAACTGACCAGTGCTGAAATTGTTTTCCTCTCCCACCATCATTCTCTAGCACCCCACCAACTCTATTTACCACAGAATGGTTACCCCATGTTCCAGAAAGCAAAGGTTGTATATATGCAATGCAAAGTAACTGCCAAGTGAAACTTTTAATCCTGAAAAAGAGTGGAGACTCCAATGAAAGTGATATTAAAAATGGCACCAAACATAATAAATTTGGCCCATGAGGAACAAGGATAATAAGGCAACAGTTAGTCCACAACTAGAGACAACTGACACCAGTGGCTCTTTGTAGGTGTCGATCTGATATCCCAGGGATTGGAAGAGGTCCTAGGAGTACAAGTTCTAGTCCTGAGAAGCTCTTCTTGACCATGATCTACACCACACAGAATTTTAAAAAGCTACAACTGAGTCTCTGTTTTCTGAACTGGCCTACATAGACATTCTTGTTTAATGAATGAGTTTCATTCCTGCAATTAGGTCATTAAATGAATTTTTTGCTGAGGAATTGTATGAGTTATTGTATGTGGTATGTATATTATAATACTTGGATCAACAAAATGGCAAAAGGAATCTCTAACTTGATGACTTTGCTTTCATTTGTATAACTCACATGCAAAGGTGCAACGTATAACAGGATATAAAACTACAGTACAATCAGCAAAACTTATAGTTCTGTATAAATAAGGTATACTGCACACACACACACACACACACACACACAAAGACAGAAGCCCTATAAACAAGATGTACAGAATTGTACCAAAAAGGAAAAAAAAAAAAAAAAAAGTCAAGTGATGGGCCACAAGTTCAAACAGTGTTTAATCAGGTAGGCCATTAAATAAGGAGTATCTGTACTTGAAATTGAAACTGTTATATGTGAGACACTTCAATGTCCAAACTAAAGTCTCCATTAAAACTCAAATTATTTTTAAGAGACCTTTTATAGGTAATAAGTGGGTAAGATTAATAAATCTGCAGTACATAATAATGCACTAGAATAAAACACACTAAGTGAGGCAGTACAAAGATGGGTCACTTTGTAGTCAGGTTATTGAATGAACAGACTGCCTATGTATGGTACAGGGCTAGGAAGGGATGGATAAGAATGGCATTATTCCAGAAAGCGTCAGGAAGATACAGAGGAAGAAACATGGTGCAGAGCACAAAGGTGTTTTAACTACAGCCTCAAGCAAGGGACTAGAAGTACTACAGGTGATCAAAGACTTCTTTTTTTTTTTTTTTTCAATTTATCTCTTTAATAAACTTCCCTCAAAAGAGTTCTTAAAGGTGACAGCTTGAGCAAGTTCTAGATTACAGATGTAAATGCTGCAAAAAATCCAATTCTTTTTTTTTTTTTTTTTT